CGCATTTAGTCTCTACTGTGAGAGGTATTTTCCAGGGTCAGCCTAGAAGGAGTTGAGGAGGGAGCAGACTTTTAACCGCTTGAGCGCAAAGAGCAGATTCCCATGTCCGAGTGTTTCCATGCAATGTGCCCTATAAGAAAAAAAAAAATCTTCTTGGGCTCAAAGCATACACAAAGAAATCCTGACACCAGGGAAGCCAACACAAGGTTGCCTCCAGGAAAAGCTCAGGGTGCTCACGCATGGGCTTGGGATGCAAAGCACTCCCAGCCAAGAGCAGAACCTCGTGGGGTTGAGGGTCATGCGCTTGTAGGAGGAGTGCCAGCCTCTGCCCTGGCACAAGACGCCGGCTGACGACACAAAATGGAATAGGTCTCACTTAGAGAGGAGGAGAAAGCGAGCCCTAGACTCAGGGACCTGGAGTCCCTTCCTGCTTCCACCATTAAACTGTGAAATGAGTGTACCACTAACAACAACGCTGGGAAATAAGGCATCGCCCGAGACAGGAGAGAAGGGAAGAGTCACATGAGCCTCATCTCTATCTAGGCAACTTTCTGTCTTGTACATTAGCCAGCATCCAGCCTCATTTTAGACACGTTTAGCAACGGAGGAATTACACTGATGCCCCTCAGGGGATTATCCTATGGCCTAGTACATCTCACTGGCAGAAGGGCTTTCGGCGGAGTTGGGGACATGTCAAAGAGGAAACCCCAAAGTCCCTGTGGAAAATCATTAGCCAGGAGCGAGCAGCCTCGGTAGCCCTCGGGAGCATTACCAGAACAGGGCGAGGAAGGCAGCAAGGAGAACATGGAGCAGGGACAGTCGCATTTGCCTGCCGAGGAAGCCAGCTTCAGCCTGAAAGGCAATCCTCTCATCCACCCGAAAACCTCTGCTGACGGAAATTCAACACCAACCTAGGGATACACGGCTCCTGCCCAAACCGCAAGTGATTTGTAGCTGGGGCTGGAGTCAGAAGGGTCAACATGCATCCATCCCAATGTTTTGAAAAGAAATTTCTCCAGAAAGATTTGGGTTCAGAATGAAATTCAAAAGATGCACTATTTGATTATTCCTGCCCTTCATTTCAGCCTTCGTTTTTCTAACCCTTTTAATAAGCACCTACCTGTTAGTATTGGCCAGGAGATTGCCTTGGAGAAGTTTGAGCAGCTTGTATAGAAGATGCCTGAGAAACAATAAAAGAAGAATAAAACTTTGCTAGATCCCAAGAGCAAAGAGAAAAAACACATCTGTCTAGAAACGTACTTACCACCAGCAGGGTTTTACTAGCATCTGAATCAACTTTTAGCATGGACATGCTCTCCCAGGCTTTCTCTGGGCATTAAAGTGACACTATTTCAGTCCCTAAGCAGCAGAACATCTCACGATGTCTTAGACAAATATTCTAGGATCGAGCTGAACACTCGGACGAACAGCGTAGTTTATTCTCACAACGGAGTACAATTCACTGCTTCTCCTTCAGAAGCCAGCAGTAAGATAAGCACTGATTTCAGGATGAACCATTAAGCACAATCCCAGATCTCCATCCAGGCCAGCATGAAAGCATTTGCGTGGATGGAGCACAAATTGAAGCCTCTTTCTTGAGAGAGGGAGAGACTTTCCTGAGCTGGGTGCTGAGGACCTTTGCCTCTCCCCTGAGGCGCAAGGGCATCACCTTCACTATTTCACTCTTGCACCGAGTGAAACCACTGTCGCTGTAGAGCTACAGGGTTTGAGAGAGCCGTTTCCATTCACAACTCCTCGGTGCTCATTCACTCCAAAACATTCCCTTTGGCCAGATATTTATCATTCTTGTGTCATCCTCAAAGTATTTTGCAGGGGTGGTAGGAGTGGCTTTTGGAAGACATTTGAGCACATCCACACATACATGCTTGGGCTGCTGTGTGTTTGGCCAAACAAACACAACTGCACAAAAAGAATTTTTTTTTTTTTATGGTAGGATAGCTACAAGTGGGAAATGAACCTTCCAGTCCTGCCAGAAAAAAATCCCTGTGGGGATTTCTGAGTGTGCCCAAAACTCACTGGACTAAGATCTCCTCTACGAATCCCACTGACTTGTGTGGGTGAGAAATTAAACCAAATCGGAAGTTTTTTCAATAATAAAATTAAGCAAAAAAAAAATCCCCTCACCCCACTCAAAAATCCAGCCAGAACTGCCTGAAGAGTAACACAGATGCATCACTCGGACAGCCCGGCACCTGGGCCAGGTCTCTCCAGTCCTCGGGCCCTGGGAAGGCAGGAGATGACTGCAAAACACCAAAAGAGACGGACGTTTCTGCAGCCGGCTCAGGTGCCTGGCGCACTGCGGACACCACGGCTACACTGAAACAGCAACTCAGACGAGTCACCCTGCACGGCCCTGCCCTGGCGGCATATTCACACGCTAGGGATGCTGGAGCGCTGCTCCTCAACCCACATGTGAAGGTCCTGCCTTGAGCGAGAACCACAGTTCAGATTTACCTTTAACGCACAGCTGGAGCATCATCAAATGTTCTTCCTCCCAGGCTGACAGCGTGGCTGGCAGATCTGCTCGATACCAAAACCAGCGAAGAAAAAGGAGCTCTAAAACCACTATTTCAAAAACTTATCTGTTTAAAAAGGCTATTGCATCACCACGTGAAGCGTGGAGGCCAGACTCTGCTGCCAGTTACACTGGGTTGGGCTTTGGGGTTTGTTGCCCTTTGGGTTTTTGAATATGTGTTTTTTTTATCCCGTTTAAAACACACCTAGTAAGGTAAACTTGCCTCCAAGCGCTTTTTCCCATTTTACGCCAAAGCTGTCGCAGGCAAACGTCAGCCCTGGTGGAACGCCATTGGCGGCAGTGGTTTTATACCCCAAATATAAAGCCGTCCCGGAGCTGTTTGTCTCAATGTCCAAAATAGATGCTGGCAGAACCTGGCAATCACGCTGGTTACACACAGTAATGAGCTGTTGCTATATCGAGAGATCATTTCAACAGACAGTTGAAGAATTAGTAGCAGTTACTGCTCGAGGTACCTGGATTTGAAGACACTCAGCATGTTGGTGAGGGCTGGAACTGACACACGAGAAATTCCCAATTTAGAGCAGTGGGTGGAGACCGTTCAATCACAACTCAAATCTAGGCCAGCACAGACACCCAGCCCAAAAGTCCTCTGCTGGCAGGGGACAGCACTTGGTTGTAGGCACTTGAACTTCCAAAGCAAGGAGCTTAGCGGAGATTTTTGCTTGATTTTCCATTTCCTGACATCACTAAAAGATTCACTGAAAGAGGAGGCAACGGAGGGTCCTGCAGCACCTTCCAGTCTCCCAAAACACTTCTCTCACCTTAATTACCGCATGGATGTAAACGGGAATTTTGCTTGCGCCTGAACCCAAAAAAGGTCTTACAAAAGGGGGACCCAGTTCAGAAAGGCACCTGAAGAGTGAGGTTTCCCAGGCAGCTTAAACTGATGCGAGTTCCCACCCCGAAAGGAGTCCTGCGCCTGCCCACGCGCTGGGGCAGC